ATCGAGACACTAATCTAGAGCATCCCAATGAGAGTCACAACATGGAGCGTGGAAATGCCCGCTCTGAGCTAACCACAAACGCCATCTCGTGTATAAAAAGTGAGCAAGCTGCAATCGAGCAATACGTAGCAGTTTTGTATTATGAGTGCGATACTCATTTCGGAGAGTAGTGAGGGATACTTACACTTCTTATCCTTTTCCTTTCTGTTTGTGTGCGTACGTGCGCGCCCGTGACATTTGAGCGCGTGCACATACCATACTCATCTAGTACCCACCTCTCACACGGCGCCACGCACGATGATGAACCAACAGTGTGGACTCGAATGCTGGCTACATACACACACATAGTTCACACATATATCGGCCTCCGGTAGCTCGACTATGTAGCCAGAGGGGCACCAAATGATAGGGCTGGAAAAACCACCTCGTAAGAGGAAATAACAGGAATCGTCCGAAATATAAAATAAAGAAGCACACTGGCTTAAATATTAATTTAATAAAGGAAGATAATAAGAGAATGATAATGTCTCCTAGAATAAAATAAGAATGAAATTACGGCTCTGTGCAGCAGGCGAGGACCTCGACGCGGCTGCACCAAGAGCAAAGCTACTCCGTCGACAAAGAAAAAGGGCCAGCGATCTGGCGGAGGGGCGGCCCAATGCCAAGTAGCGTGTTTAAACACTGAACTAGGGAATTACATTGATGGTTTGGCTTTGCCTTCCCGTGCATGAAGCATGGAATGGTGATCAAGAGGGGTGAATCGTGATGATACATGTATTCAAATTCACGTTCGTTTTTTGTTTCTTTTTATTTCATTCGCATCTAATAATTTCCCTCTATGTTCACTTATTTCTTCCAGACCTTCCAAAATCATTAGCCCCACTTCTATTATTTCCACTTCTATGTCCCGACAGCTCGGTACAACGGCCGCTGTTTTACATGTTGAACTGTAAATCCCTTCGAGAAGTTTCCAAATCATCTCACAATCAGATGTCAAACGCGCGCGGAAAGCGAAATCATCGCGCATGCGGGCCGACACAAATCCGTCTGCTGTACTCGACTGCAAATCAGTTGAAGAAAATCGTATGATATGCTCATTCCGTTTTATCTCCGTATTCGTGACAGCCAATTTGCGATCAGGAATGCCCACCCTTAGAAAGCGTTTTACGTGATGCATAACCGCAGTTTTAGCGTGCCTTACTCGCACCGTTTCAAACTGCTGCATTGCACTGCTGATTTAACCACCGTGTTAATATTTAACAACGAAACCGACGCACTCTATACAGACTGCCTTGACAGGTCAGCAGCCGCAAGTTTCGTGTCTCATCACAATTCACGAACTCTGTCAACATCTGTTTCATTACTGCGTCAATGAATCTATTCGTTTCGCACAAATGAATCCCAGCGCCGGAGGCCCAATTTCTTAACCCTCCCTATGTGTAGTCACGGAAGCTAAGTTGCTCGAAACACCTCACAGTATATCACACAGTATATCACCGATATACTGCAGGTGATATGAGTGGCAGAATAATCGCGACAACTTGGTTTGTTCACCAGAAATTCCATCTTCATTGCCGCTTCTTCAAACCAGACCCCAACGGTGTAATTGAATTAATGCCTTATTTTTTTGCGTGGAGAGACTACGATGAGGCCTGCTCTTCCGTCTGACCACACAAATTTCGCTACGCTCGTTTCCCCCACTAGCAGAGATAGGAGGTATTTCTTGGGCGAGAGAAACGCGATTTGAATTTATCTCAGAGGCGTCATTTAGGCTTGAGGATGCTTTACATGTAAGTAAATCTACTAACATGGGACAGCCGGCTTTACTTCCCCTCGGAAGGAAGGGGTACGAAGGATTTTTTCGCCCTTAAAAATCCACGGCTTCGATCGGGTTTGAATCCGCCAACTTGGGTACAACAGTCCGAAAGATCTCTTTTAGGAAGGACAAATGGATCGATTTTAGTCGGGTGAAATTATGAGCGCTGAACATCTGAACGAACGTATGTAGTAATTTCCCTACCTTTCATTGGTCGCGATACGCTAACCGTTACACCATCGCCACACGCAAAGGTGTAACGGTTAGCGTATCGCACTGTAACGGTGTAACGCTGTAAGGCATATAGCCCTTATATTTAGATTTATTTTTTAGATTTACTGAGACAATGAATGTCAGTATTATGAACCCCCTCCCAATAAACAGTTTTCAGCCCCGTATAAGTTCACCAAATATTGCCTGAAACGTTGGCCATCCAGCACACTCTATGTACGTCAACTGCTATTGTCATCAGTCCTGTGACAGTAGTGCACATTATAACTCGAGCCATGGTGTTCTTCTCCCGCTGGAAGTGAAAACCGGCGCTGACCTACACGTCGAGGGGTTTCCACCTCCAGGTATGTCCGCCAGGCGGGCACTATCTCAGCCAGTACTCTAAGCTCTTGTGTGGTAGTTTAGTGCATGTGTGTGTATGTTAAGGAATGAGAATGGTTCAAAGACTCAAGAAATCAATTGATTTTACAATGCTTAATGTACAAACAATCATGTACAGTTCGTTTTATGATGCTGAGAAATAAACAGCGTAATAATGCAGCGAGATCTTGAACTATTAGATTAAAGATGAAATTTCATTCCGAAAGATCTCCTTTAGGAAGGACAAATGGATCGATTTTAGTCGGGTGAAATTATGAGCGCTGAACATCTGAACGAACGTATGTAGTAATTTCCCTACCTTTCATAGGTCGCGGTGATCTTCATTAAGTAAATACGCACATCATCAGCTGGTTAATTAGCATTGTCAGGAGTGAAGCGCATACGTGGCTCGAGGAATCACATCCGTGGATTATTAAGCGCTATTAAGCTCTGAGTGCGTATGCTGATATGAGTGTGTAAGTCAACGTGAGAGTATTGTGAGCAAGTTTGCGTGTCAGTTGTTTTATTATATTGTTTTAGTTGCTGCACGTTGAACCACATTACGGAAGAAGCAGACGTGAAATAATGCACAAATTTACACAATATCTGGGGTTGCTGTTCGATATTAATTAAAGGAGAATATAAAGTACAATGTGTTCATGAAGGTAAGTGATTGATCCTTTTGAATTTTTCACTAACTCTCCACTTGCCACCAACATTTATAATCCATACCCCTTTAATATAATTTCTAAAATGTTATATTCGGTCAGAATCCCTTCACACAGTTGCATACCAATACCAATATGATACCCGAATAACACCAATGAGAGGGGAGAAGGTTAACGGAGGACCCAAGAAAAATTGCAATATAGCTGAAGAAACATGTTATAAATTTAAGAACAAATGCTTAATCTATTGAAGAATATACTGTAATCATTTTCCGCAATAATGTGTTTGTATTATTTTTCAGTTTTTGAATAATGGAAAAGGCTTAAGCGTAAGTATTTTGAATACCTCAATTTTTGCTGTCTTTTTTCATGGTGCCACAAATGATCACTTCCTACTTTTCAAAAAAGCAGTTCAACATTCTGCTGCGAATTCTCAACTGTTCTCTACATAGACAGACACTAGCGTAATTTCGCTATGAGTTTATGAGCAGTCCTGGCTGGAAGCAAACTCTGAAACTCCTACGAAGAGATAACGCGAGGCTACAGCTTCTAATTATTTTACAATAGATTTAAGCATCCGATTAGCGTTGATACGCGATCACTTCGATCTCAGAAAGGCTCTAACAATAAAACTCCTTAACAGTAAAACAGTAACTCTTGAGAATATAGAAGAAAAATCTACTCTTAGATCCATCGTTGACATCCCACTAGTAATGACCATTCTTAATCTCCACCCCATTCTGGTATTCACTCTTAATGTCCTCTGCATAGTTAAAGCATCACTGGATAAGACAAACATTCAAATAAAGAACGATAATTCCAGTCAAGTTTATAAGTATATATTTTTAAGACGTTTCTACCTCTTTTGTGAGGTTCTCATCATTTGAATCCTCTGCACAGGTTTCTCCGCAAGATCTTTTCTGATATCTTGTTTTCAATGGAGTATCATTAATGAGAATACAGAAGAAGAAGAATAGAAAGGAAACAACTAAAATGTTTGAAAATTATGTAACGCTGAGTTAAAACATTGCTAATAGTTCAGTTGATATTACCAAGTTTTTATATTTTATTCCGAGCGCATGTACTGAAGTTTGGTCATCAATCGTCTTTAATTGTTCTGATTACTGCCACAGTGACACACTGACGCAATTGCACAAATCAAAATTTTCCTCTCACAACAAAATGTTTATTAGTTCATGATCTTGAATACCACAAACGATTCTGTCATATATTAAGCTGTCTCTTAAATCTTCAAAACCATAATATGCACTTAACTTTTTCAAGTACCTCAGAAATTTTAAAGACCGCTATGTGAAATTTTGTTAATAATATACAACAGATAAATATAATATTAGTATATTGAGCACTAAGTATTAAAAGTACTACATGCTATCAGGATGCATTGCATAATACAGTTAACGGATGGAATGTCCGAAAGATATGCGACCAATGGGCGCCAGGCACTGTTGCCAATTGCTCTAGTATCCTGACGAAGTGAATAGAAGATTCTGAGATAATGGGAATTTTGTATTTATTATCTACCTTTTTGAAATGAATTTATTTAATTACTTTTAATTACCGAACTATTAAATAAATAATTTCATTCGTGTATTAGTTTCATGTATGTTATTGGTTCGTCGATTCTTAGAAAATCACAATAAGTTTAACCGCGCCCAATGTATGCAATAATATTTTTAATATTATTGTATGAATGGTATTTAATAATACAGTATTTATATGCATATATTTACATTTATATTCACATATAAAATTGAATTTAAGATATATTAATAATACAGGCTTTATCGGCCTTGATTTCGTAATAAAATTATTACATCGCGATTGATAGTGCTGCATTCTAGTTGAACAACAATGCAGTACAACTTACAGAATATAGTTGGTCGACGCAGCAGAGCTCAGGTGCCACGTAGTGTAGGAAATGAACAAATGAAGGTTTCGTAAGTAAGCCCGCGTTGCAGTGGCGGCCATTTCGCGTTGAGAGTTGTGAGTTGTGAGGCAGCGATGGGTCAGCGCGGGGCGAGGCGAAGGGAATTGCACTCGTGGCACACCATGAACGAGAACAGGGAGTACGATCATGCGAACCGTCCAATTGCCGAGAACTTCATTCCACCCACCTCCTCTCCCAGGTTAGTATCAAATGAGGCTGGCAAGGCGAGCAAACACCAAGTAAACATCAGCATTATGGAAACAATGAAAGTAACAAATGGTAAAATATAACGCGGGGTTCAAACAGAAAACGTAAATATTTTCAGTACGGTATGCAATGATGCAATGAAGAATAAAACGAAAGAGTAATTACGTGTGACAACAGGAAACGTAAGACTGTTACTGAATAACTGGCCTCATCAGGTGTTTAAACTTTAATATTACAAATTCTGCCAATTGTTTGCTGGTTAGTCTAATTTTCTTTCGTAACTATTTACAAATTCCCTGTCATTAACTGTCTTGACATGTCATTCTGTTAGTCATGTAATTTTTGTTGTTATTTTCAATAAATTCTAAATGATTTTTATATTCCATGCTAGTTGGCAACTAATTTTTGATTTACTTAATGAACTATGCAATAATAATGTTATATACAATTTTAAGCGAACTAATTTTTTTTATTTAAGTATACATATGCGCTTCAGCAAGAGAAACAATGTAAATTTAAAAGAAAATTTGTATCTGTTTAAGAGGTTATATTTCACCAATACTCCATGCCTTCACAGAATTAAATAGTGAAACAAAAGTTAAATTAGTGAATTTGCATCCCATTCAAAATATGCTGAATTGTATAGGTTAGTCAAATGTTGGCAAAATGCAATTTACATACCTAATAAGCAGACAATTAATTTAAGCAGGTTGAGAAAACTGCATAATAACTATCCATTAATATTGCATTATTTTTTCAACATTGTTGTATTGAACTACAATTTGCAAAATATATAATATTTAAATGTATGTATTTCTTAGATTCATACATTTAAATATTATTTTAATATTTTTCATAATAGATATTGAGGCATTTAAGGCATTATTTAAATAGCATTTAAGGACATTTATGTATAAATTATCAGGGGTTTATTGTAATGTATTGTAATTTCTTTTGATGTATTGTAATTTGTGCAATACATTACAATATACTCGTGATACGTTATTTCTGAATGTCCATAAATGCCACAGATGCAAGAATAATTCAAAATTAGTCTACAATCAACCTATTATGCAATATTTATTATAATAAATATTAAGATAAAATTTAACTGTTTAAATATAAATTCAATGGTAAATTATTATTATTATTAATAATATTATTATTATTTCCTCTGTATTTCGGTGTTTTCTCACCTGTGGTTCAAGGTTTGAGGAGCCTTTCAACATATCACATTTCTTATAACCATATGTAAAGATGTTGTAAAATTCCCATGAGTAAAAGTATCAGAAAGTAATAGGTAAGTTTTTATAGACTCATATAAAATAACAAATATTGCTTTTTAAATAGCGAACATTGTGCAACCTTAACAGAGCAAAATGTTTGTTTATAGGCAATACAAAATATTTAAAAATATTACTTGCCCATCTTTTAAATCTTTAAAAATATACTACCAAAAGGTGGAAATAAGTAGTATACTACTTCCCCACACAAGATTTACTAATATTTGAATGAAATCTTGGAAATGATATTCTCAAATAATTTTGCCAGGGATAAACATTTTTGTCAAATAGTACTTTGTATTTTTGTTAACAAGATGAGTTGCTTTTATGACAGTTGGTGTAACCTCAAGTTAGATACGTCTTTATATTATATTAAGCCAGCAATGAAGTTTGAAATTGTATGTTTTGTTTTATCAATGTTATGATCTGCAGAGTTGCACTAATGGTTAACACTTTCCTTTCCTGTGGGCTTATTAGAGTGCCTATTTCTTTTGCTGAGATTTTTTGGGCGTATTCTAAATACTTGACTACAATTAACGATAGAAATGTATTTCCGTAATGAAATCCATTTTTAACAGATCATGAAATAAGATTATGTATGGTTTTTCGCAAAATAAGTAGTTTTGAAGTAATTTTGCCCGAAGTAAATTGTTTCTAAAAACCGCTCCCCATTTTTTCTTTAAATTTTATTCTAATACGATAAATAGGATTAGGTAAAAAGCAAGGTTTTCAGTGAACTGTCGTTTTTCTTTCAAAAACTTCTTAGAGTGATCATTTCAAGACAACAAAGTTTTTCTTCATACATTATCTGTTGTACGAAAACTGCTCTTTGAAAAAGGTCATGAACAATTTTTCGACAAAACGAGTGTGTTTTCGTGTGATTTGTGGTTGAAATGTATGCAATTCCTAAAAAAATATTTTCTCAAAAATTCTTCAATTTTTTTTCTTTAAATCTTTTCCACGGATAGAGGAAAAGATACTGAAAATAATAGAGAAAACATTTTCGTTGAACTACATTTTTGGAAATTGCTAATGTCTTGCTAGAAATACTGCAAGAAATAATGTGTTGTCGCAGCACCCCTAGTTTCCTTTAGAACACCTCAATATTTTAGAGGGACATTACAATTTTTAACATTCACATAAGTTGCAATACGTTTCGCGACACACTGGGGCCCTATCATCAAGTAAAAAGCATAACACATAAAAATACACTTAAATGACAAAAAGATAGTACTTTTTTTGGATATTAGAATTTACAATAATATTAAACGAGTTTTTGTGTGAAAAGTTCAATGATATCGTATATGACATGTTTGTGCCCTCCATTATAATGTCGAATAATATCTTTGTATCCTTCATAATAAGATGTCATTTAATATACTTTATCCTAAAAACTTGTTTAATATTATTGTGAATTCTAAAATCTAAAATTGTAATATTTATGTCTTGGATATTTTGAGCGTATTTTTCTGTATTGCAATTAATACTTAATGAAAGCGCCGCAATGTGCTCCGAAACGCTTTTCAAGTTACGTGATTGTTACAAATTTAAATGTATCTCCCAAATTTTGAGGTGCAACAAAGGAACTAGTGGTGCTAAATAATGTCCCAGACTTGCCCTTATTAGTTTTCAATTTCCTTTGTTCTCGGTTAGCTATACGACTTGAAACACTCTTCCTAGCTGTCATCTATCGCCATCCAAAGTACATATTTTTGCAAATTTATCAATTTTTCGGTGCCCTTATAGTAGAACGGAAATATTATTTTATAAATATTAAATAACAGTAAAACCTCGTCCTAAATGGTGATTTAAAAAAAATGTTTAAAGTCGTTTTTAAGAAAAGACGCTTAAGCACTTGAAAGGCTCGTAAGCATTCGAAATTTGAATATCTTTTTCACAGAAAATGTTTGTTTTCGAAAAACTTAATTTTAAGTCATTTGAAGCACTTTAACTCATAAATACAATAGTGTTTACAAATTGCAGGAAATGTGCATATTAACGGCGTGAGAAAACTTAAAAAAAGTACATTCGTGTAATTTGTGGAAACTATATCTCAAAATAAAGTTTACATCTTAAGAGTTAAATTAGCACTATTTCTTCGAAAAGTTTGAAGAAAAATATTAGAGCTGAATTTGAGAAAATGGCGTTTGAGCATTTCTGACAATGAGAAAATGTTGAGCTAGTTTTTACAGAAAACGGTTGAATTTTTCAGAAACATTGTAAGACATCATTTAAAGCACATGTTCTCATATATATAATAATGTGAATAAGTACCCGTTAACATAAATATTAACTACGTGAGAAAGTAGTACACAAAATTTATTTTTGTAATTTTTCAAAAAAGGAGAGCAATATGGCATTTATGTCATCTTATAAAGTGCATTTAGCAAACAAACAAACAAACAGACAAACTAACTAACAAACAAATAAATAAATAAACAAACAAAGAAATAAACAAAGAAAGAAATAAACAAACAAAGAAATAAACAAATAACTACGTAACTAGGTAACTAAGTAAGTAAATAATTAATAAAAAAATATAAATGCTTAAGTGAACAGAGAACAAATGTCGATATTAGCGATGTGCCGGTTACTTTTAAATACCTTGAACGTTTCCCGTATCCATTCTTACTTTACTTTAAGATTATAAAGAGTGTTATACAAGATATTTACCTTCGCAATACTTGGAGCTTTACTTCTTGTAATTATTATACTGTATATTACTGTCGTTCAGCAAATCCTGATTCCGCCCTTATACAACGTTTACTTTGCATGTAACGTCGAACTCTAAACCATTCTACAATGAAGGATCATTTATGAATGCATTATTTTCCGTTGAGTGACATGCTAGACGTCTAGCTTCGGGATTTGTATTAATATTCTCTATTTAGTCAAACCAGTGGCCTTTGTTCTGCGATTTCTTGTCGTTCCTTGGTGTAACATTCAATGTCCTTGGCCGGGGATAGGTCACAATACCACATTATACCTTTAATATTATTTAATTTCTATTCTAATAATATTGTATTCACTATAAAATAATACTCATTATAATGAAATATTATAAATATTAATGTATATTAATATTAATTAATTATATTAATGTAATATTATAAATATTGACATTACAAAGAACAAAGTTTTAATTCAGGTCAAGAGCACGGACGTAAGTGGCGCTCACCGTCGACAAAAGGGGTCCGTCTGAGAAGAGTCAAACGACGGCGGTTAATGACTTCTTTTCTGTAGTCCAGTGAGCCATCGCCCCTCGGAAGGGGCTGTTCAGTGTCCTTGCAATCGGCCTTAGTACACAAAAGCAAGTGAACTTTAGGCGTGGCTAACAATTTCGTGAGTCTTTGGAGACCGCACTAACAGGAACAAAAGAGAGAGTACTAAACAATAAAGGGAATGGAAAGGGAAGGAAAGGGAGGAGAAAGTCAAATGTGGAGTTGAGAAGGAATTCTGTTGTATCTTTCGAAATCGAGGGTCTTCTTTGCTGGGACATTTTGCTGGACAAGCCACCTTCGCCAAGAGGTGACCTCCTAGAGCAGACACTTGCGGGCGAGTATTCTTCTGCTGTCGCCAGGCTGGCACGGGCGAGGCCGAAGGACGGGGCTGTGTGTTGCAGGAGCCGTAGCCCCCGCGGAGCGGGCAGGCGACGCGCCGCCACCACCGCCGCCACTCCCGTGGCCGTGCGACCCTCGCCCACGCTCGAAGAGCTGCTGGCGTCGAGCTGCGAGCTGGACTGCACACCGCGACCTCGCCTGCGCCCGCGCCCTCTTCGCTCCGCCCAGGGCGGCGTCGAGGACGAGGTACAATTCTTTTCGTTGGTTTTGCCCCGCGATAAACGTTTTATGTTGCCTTTTTTACAAAATCTCATTACGGGCCCAAACCTCCTTTAGAAATGAGGTAAATGAAATAAATATATATTCAAGGGATAGCGGTTTATTATTTTTTATTGGTAACTATCAGATTTGTCGTTAAAGTTGTAATTATTTGTTGTAATTAGAGTTGTAAGTATAGTTATAATTGTCATCTCCTGCAACTCACTGCATGCTCACAGCAAAGTCGTTCGCCTTTCCCCTTGGAGATATGGGAACGACTCCCATCGCTTCTCGGACAATCTCATGTGAAATTTGTTCGAATAGAACGACGTTGACTACTTCACAAGGGCTAATGTGAAGGGCCTGTGAAGTGTTCTAAACCCTACTCCTATGCTAATTCCTTTTCAATTCTGGCCGCTGGGTAGTGACGCAGGAGCGCGTGGTTGGAGGCGCGTACGCGGGAATGCTACCTGGCGGTCCTCTTGACCACTGACTGCGACGAGACTGAACACTACACGTAAAATAAAAATGTTAATGGAAAATGACCCCATAGTAAAAGTTAACGGTCTCCACAATGCGCTCAACGCTCTGTTAGGGGCTAGGAAAGGCGTTGTGTCAATATAGACGCAACGAATTAACAAAAGTAGTTGAATTGTAATTGTTAAGTCCCAAAAGCCATTTCGTCAGTTTACTTTTGTGTGAATGTGCCTGCTAACGCATATAGTACCACCAAAATACGTCTCTGTTCAGGACGAAGCTCCGCTGGCCGTCCCCGCCACCGGCCCATACACCGGCGTTCGGGCCGCCGCCGCCGCCTTCGCCCTAGGGCTGTCCTTCTCGGCGCCCTCCTTCCCGCCGTGCGCCTGCCCCGCCCCCGCCGCCTCCGCCCTCGCCGCCTCCAGCTCCTTCGACGAGCGGGGCCCCCGCTGCCGCGGCCGGCGCTCCGCGGGCGCCGCGCCCGGGCCTCAGCAGCCGCGTCCGCGCGAGGCCGTCGTCTTCAACCTGATGGTGGTGGGCTGCACCGGCCTGGGCAAGTCCACGCTGCTGCACGCAATGTTCGCCAACCAGGTGTTCTCGGAGCACTTCCCGGGGCCGTGCCCGCGGATCAAGAAGACGCTGCAGGTGCAGAGTAGCCAGGCGGTGGTGGAGGCGGCCGGGCTCCGACTGCGCCTCACCCTCGTCGACACGCCTGGCCTCGGGGACGCCGTCGACAATTCAAAGTGCTTCAAACCCATCCTCACCCACATCGACGACCGCAACTACGATTTCTTCAGTCAGAAGGCGAACGCCAGCAGCACGGCTCCGCCCGATCCCAGGATCCATTGCTGCTTGTACTTCATCGAACCCACGGGCCACGGCTTGAAGCGCCTCGATATCGAGTGCATGAGGAAGCTGCATGACAGGGTGAACGTCATACCGGTCATCGCGAAAGCCGATACGATGACTTCGTTTGAATGCTATCGATTCAAAAAGCGACTTCGCCAAGAAATTGAAGAACATCAAATAAACGTCTACGATTTCCCGGAGGTAAACGCAAAAGGCGAGAAGCTCAGATCCCTCAAAGACCGACTCCCGTTTGCCATCGTGAGCTCCAACACTGTGGTGGAGGAAAATGGCCGGAAGATGTTGGCGCGCAGGTACCCGTGGGGAATCGCAGAGATCGAGAACCTAGAGCATTGCGATTTCTCTCTATTAAGGAAGGTTTTGCTGCAAACCCACTTGCACGATCTCAAAGAAGTGACCAATATCCACTATGAGAACTTTTGCTGTAGAAAACTCACCCCCATAACATTCGATGACTTTAAATTGGACTGTTCTAATAGGAAGAAATACAAGTAATAAATTGAACAAATATTAATTTTAACTCTTCAATGTTGATCAGCATTCCTGATACTTAAGTCGAGCTAAACGTATTCTCACCGTTGTCAAACAAATCATTTTTAAATTAATTTTACTTTGAAACTTTTAAACGTGCCTCACACATTTTATTCATAATTGACTGTCTACTGCTCCTGACTGCTACATGTTCCCTTGAATGAAACTGTAATATCCATCATATTTTAAATGAAAAAATAAAGCAACTCACGAACTTTCAATACTTGTGTTTTACTTTCTCCTGAAATTTTGATCAAATGATACACTGGTGTCTTTGAAAGTTGCAACACCAAGAAGGAGACATACTATTATAATGAAATATATTTCACAGATTAGGAATATCACAAAGAACAATGATTAGAATGACAGAACGGTACCTAGATTTTGACCTTGAATATTTAGTACGGCGTGAAGCCGCCACACGCACTCATCAGAGCACCTAGACGTTGTGGCATGCATCCAAAGAGAGCTTGGATATGATGCATTGGGGAACACACTGACATGCGATTTCTATGTCTGACCACAAAGCATCGAGAGTGACTGCAGACGGAGCAGAGCGAATAAGAGAACCTATCATATCCAAGACATGTTTGATTGGTGGCATGTCAGGCATACGTGCAGTCGAGGGAAACAGCGATACTCGTCCGTTCTTTGCAGAAAGCTTGGACGCATCATACCGTCGACCATTGTCCTGCTCAAATATGGTACATAGAGCAAATTTTCTAAACTATTAAGTTTTGGAAGTCAACAAAATAATATTACCATGGACTGTTGATTGAACCCCTCTTCATTCAACCCCGGATACGATGCAGATGCCTGTGATACACACTTTAGAGAGGCTAGGAGTGGAAAAGTTTCATCAAAAAACTGAATCATGCCAAGCCTTTCTATAGGCAACTGTGTACTGCTTTCTTTTGGAGCTGTTGTGAAAATTCCTCTAATGACCTGAGCAGTAGAGGTGGTGTATCAAGCCACATCCATCAATGTGCCCAGTTACCCCTATATACGGGGGGTAAGGTAGAAATTCTGAAGCATAAGAAAACGTGTGCACTGTGAGCTGAAAGTGTAATCACGTAAATTTGGTTTGTAAGATATGAAAAAATATACAGTATCAAGAACCCTACTGTTCCATCAATATCAACCGATATTCATTAGCTGATAGTTGTCATCTTTAGCCCGAGGTTCCAACTACACGTCAGATACTCTTTCCTAATAAAAAATCATTGTTAGAATTAGTATTAGAAGCTTTCATTCACGCTTCTAAATGTGTCAGTAAATTCAATAGTGCAGTATCAAGTGTTGTGACACCCTCACAGTTGTGTCCCTGCGGATTCGGTTTGCGGCTACTGTGCTCTACTTTCTCACCCCTTTGTGTCCTTTCCCCCTCCCACTGACGCCATTCCCCTCCACTTCTTCCGCCGCCTCCAAGACACTACCTCTTGTCGGCATCGCAGCCGGCAGAGGCTGCGGCTGTGGAGACGGCTGGGATGGTGCGAACGGGGGCCGAGGCGGGGGCGGTGGCGCACCTGCATGCGGGTGCGGGCGCCCAGTCGGAAACAGAAGAGCATCGGCGCAAATTGACGAAGTTCCCGGCGCCGCGCCCCAACCCTCGCCCCCACGCGGCCGCGAGCCGCTTCGCTGAACACGTGACGATGCACAGAGGCGCGCGCCCCCACAAGCAATTAGGCGCTATTTGTTTGGAGATCGGGATCAGCCACGCAGGGCTCAGCCACCCCTTCGCCGCCTCCTCCTTGTTCGCCATCCGCACGCCATTAAACAGGCCCCCGATTCTCCGACCTGCAGACGCTCTCCACCATCTGGGGATCCCTGGCTACCATCACAGTAATACACTTCATTGGGCTTCAAGTTCTTGTCTTGCGAATTTACTTCGGCATCAGTGACATTTGTTAACACTGACATTCGTAAGGACGGGATCACATTTTGATGCAATAACAGTATTGCTAATTACAATACACGTCGTTAGAATCAGGTTTATCAGGTGTTAGTATCAACAACTTACAACATGATATCTATAAATAATACATGTATGCTACTTAAAACACACTACAAGAAGTCATTAGAACATTTTAATTGATACACACGTGTAAAACATTTTCTGCTGGATAAGAGTTTCTTTAAAATTTGCGAAAAAACTCAATATCAAAAAGTCGAATGATATTGGTTTTAATAATGAAATTTGATGAATGCTCTTGTCTGCCGTCATCCCGACCACCAGGCTGTTATCACCCGAACAGCCAAGAGCATTTGCAAGACTCTTAAGCCTACGACTTCATTTAATGATATTTAATGTATCAGTTACTGTATAATTTTCAAAAGGTAAATATTCCTATTACAAGTATTGTAGCTCAGCTTCTAGGTCAATGAAATCAGTTTTTTTGTCCATTTTCCCTGCTCTATTGAGCAAATGCAGAGACGGACACTTGTTTTGCTTGGGCTGATGACTTTGGGAATCGGCCGTACGCCCGCGGTGCAAAGTCAGTGTATTGTGCCCTTCGTTGCTGCCACGATAAGGAACAAAGTTATGCTGGCCGGAAACTCTGAGGATATGGTAGGAACTATAAGAAGCTGGGTCTTGGACGCTTGTGATGCGTCAATGACGAAGAGCCTCAAGAAAGCACGCCGTCATCCAGGTTGTCTGACGAGTTTCTCGGAACTTCGCAGAGAATGCCACCGCACACGTAGGTTAGCGCAAAGCGAGTGGGCTCGCCCAACGTATGACACTCTCAAGGAGAGACACATGGCCGCCAGAAGATCTTTCACAAAAGCCATTAAGATCAGCACGGATCGCTGCTGGAGAGAGGTAAGTAATGATGTGGATGCTGACGGAAGCCTGAGGTCGTCCGTATAAGGTGGTAACGACCAGGCTCAATGCTCTGTCCAGCTCCGCCCCCTCCCGACTTTCCCAGTCTGCTTGGAGAAGACAGTTGCTACCTGGCTAGACAGATGTGTGGCGGTCTATGAATCCTCTTCCAGATCTACACGAGCTTCCGCCGGTTTCATTAGATAAGTATGCGAGAGGGAAATTTCCCCCGTCGTTAGAAGCAAAAACGGCTGGTCCTCCTTCTGAAGGGCAATAAGCCTCCTAGCGACCC